AGAAAAAAACCAGCTCTAGCAGGGAAGAAAGGGGGAAAGCTGGGCATGGTCATCACGCCTGTGATCTAAGCACTTGGGAGGTAGAGACAAGAGGATCAGAAGTTCAAGGCCAGTTTCAGCTACATTGTGAATTGGAGGCCAGTCTGAGCTACATGAGACCCTGGGGGAGAGAGAGAGAGAGAGAGAGAGAGAGAGAGAGAGAGAGAGAGACCAGCTAGAGAGATGCTCAGTGGTTAACAGCACTTGCTACTCTTCCAGAGGACCTGATGAGTTTGGTTCCCTGTACCCACATGGTGGCTGACAACTGTAACAGGGCCCCAGACCTTAGTAGCCCCCAACACCTTAGCACAACTGACTCCATGATGGAACTACCATTCGGGCTGTAAAACTCAGCACATAGACAGTACCACCTGTCAAAACTAAAACAAAGATCTAATCCATTAAAGCCCATAGTTCTGGGAAAGTCTCTAAATGTACTAAACTTGCTTTTTTGCTTCTATAGTTCCAATTCCGGCTAACTGTTCTTGTTAACTGAAGTATGTCAATCCAGGATATGGTTTTTGTGCTTAAAAGCTCACCCTGAGACAGGCTTGAAGCTACACTGGGATCCTGAACACCCAGTGTAATCACTGGCTGGCTAATAAAGACTTTCTATTAGCTTAAACCTATGTCCAAGCAATCTTTTCTGGTGGATACCCCACAACAACAACTATCTATAATTCTTGGTCCAGATGATCTGCTTGTAGTGGTATTTTACTTGTACTGAAATGTGATTTTAATTGTATGTTAATAAATAAAGTTGCCTGGGGGTCAGAGCTATTAGAGCCATAGCAAGTGCGTGGCGGCAGTGGTGCATGCCTTTAATCTCAATACCACAGGGGACCTGGAGGGCTGTACATACAGGCAGTGACGAGGCAGTCACGTGTTTGGGTTTACAACCAATGAGATGGCAGAACAGCTAGACTATATAAAGACAAACACACAGGAAGTAGCTCCCTTTCGGAGAGCTCTCTTGGCTGAAGAGGATCGCTGAAGCAGGAAGGGTGAGGATCTTAGCTCTGACCTCTTGGCTTTCTTCTCTGAATTGGCTCTGTGTTTCTTATTTAATAAGACGGTTGGTTACATCTACATCTGCTATCTTCTGGTCTCCATGGGCACTGCACACATGTGTACACATACATGCAGACAATAACTCACACATATTATAAAAATAAATAGATCTTGAAAAAGAAAACGAATGAATAAAAAGTAAAAAGCAGGGCAGCGGTATGGCTTAGTAATTCAATATATAATACATGCTTAGCGTACGTGAGACTCTAGGTTCCATCATTAATAATAGGCAAAAAGATTTTCCTAACTTTATACTCATAAAATTTTTGCGAGGATGACAGTGAATGTCACTAATTTGCTTGGCACTCAGAAAATGCTTAATCGACAGTGCTCAATAAATAGTTCTGATTTAATTATGTATCATTAAACATAAACACTCAGGGCATATAGTGCACACACCCTCTTTTTTTCTTCCTTCCTTCTTCCTGGACAGAGCATGTAATGGATGGAATCAAAGAAGCCACTGTGGACTGTGGGGGCGACTTTGATAGAAGCTACTGAAGACTGGTGGAGTACAAGACAAATTTTTGGTTTCTAATGAAATTACCTTAGCAATCTTAGACAGCTTATCTCCAAATCCTTGCTTGCTTGCTTGCTTGCTTGCTTCCTTCCTTCCTTCCTTCCTTCCTTCCTTCCTTCCTTCCTTCCTTCCTTTTTTGAGACAGGTTTCTGTATGTAGCTCTGGCTGGAGTTCTCATTATAGACCAGGCTGACTCGAACTCGAGCCTCTGCCTCCCGAGAGCTGGGTTAAAGGAGTGTGCCATCACACCTGGCTCCAAAGCTTCTTAGTTAGGAAACATTTTTTTAAAGATCACAATAAGTGGCTTGGATGGCCTTGAACTCACTATGTAGCCCAGGCTGGCCTCAAATTCCTAATGCTGATCCTCCTGTCTCAGCATCCTAAATACTGGGAATACAGGTATGTGCCACCATGCCTGGCTGAAACATTTCTTTCTTAACCCTCATCCACTTTTTCTTTTCTGCTTAGTGTACTGAGTCTAACTTTGCTGACTCACGCACACTGAGCGAAGGCATGGGCAGAGAGCAATGTGGGTCACAAAGAAGTCACTGCTAGGCAGTCGCAGTTGGAGTCAGGAAACATCTGAGAAAAATTGGTTTTTTTTTTTTTTTTTGAAACTGGGTCTTTTGCAGTCCAGGCTGTTCTGGAACTAGATATAGAGCCAAGAATGGCCTTGAACTCTTGACTCCCTGCAAGTGTCTACCTCGATGCTGGCTTGGAGATTTCCCTTCTTTGTTACAAAGTGGCAAAAGGAAGATAAGGCCCTTGCTTCTGCCTCCGGACACTGTCCTAAAGATAGGATATTTCAGTTTCAGTATCCATCTGCTGAGCATGTGAGAAGCTAGTCTGATGACCCAGATAATGCCTGAGGGTAGCAGAATAGAGAGAAAGAAGAACCTGGGTAGTTGTTGAAGGTACAGACCTGTCACTAAATTAATGTTCCTGGAGCCCACCAAGTACGGATTCTTTAAATTAGGGATAATAACATCCTTCCGTGGCTGAGCCCTTCTATAGTTGGACTTTAGGCAATTAGTAGCAAACTTGTGACTCGTGCCAGTGAAGGATAAGGTCTAAGGTGTGGCCACCGAGTACAGAAGCTGATAGGAAGTGGCGGTGAAGGTCACGGATAGTCAGGAGGTGAGGAGTCAGGAGGCCAAAGTAGGGTATGGTCAACCTCATGAAATGACAATTGTCTAAGGGGATGGGAGGACTAGAAGGGAGAAGAGCACAGGGCAGGAGCCAGTCTGCAGTGAATGAAGAGGAGACTAGGCAAGGCAGGGCAGGAGAAGAGTCACTGAATAGCATGGAGCTGAAGACAGCTGGTGTTCGGATGTGAAGAGGGAGAAGGGGTAATCAGGATCATTTTGCTTCTAAAGAAGGGAAAGCAGTTGATGTCAGGTAAAATGGTACACAACTGTAATCCCAACTACGTAGCCCATTGAGATAGGAGAGTATGAGCTCCAGGTCAGCCAGAGCTCTGTAGTGAAAGCCTGCCTCAAAACACCCAAACAACAACAACAACAAAAACCCTGCGCACGGCTAGTGCTCCTGTAACCCGAGCGCTCTGCGGATGGGGAGCCAGAGCGCCCCTGGGGCTTGCTGACTGCCCGCGGAGGCCAGACTGGAAGAGCGCCAAGCAAAGTGAGAGACCTTGTCTCGAGGGAATAAGGTGGAGACTGCTGTAGGAAGACTCAGATTTCTGCCTCGGGTCTCCAGTGCATACACACGAATACACACACACACACACACACATACACACACACACACACACACACACACACACACACACACACACGAATACACACACACACACACGCACACACATACACACGAATACACACACACACACGAATACACACACACACATACACACGAATACACACACACACACACACATACACACACACACGAATACACACACACGAATACACACACACACACATACACACGAATACACACACACATACACACACACACACACGCACGCACACGCACACACACACACATACATACACACATACACACGAATACACACACGCACACACACACACATACACACGAATACACACACACACACACACGCACACGCACACACACACATACACACGAATACACACACACACACACACACACACACACACACACACACACACACACGCACACGCACGCCGATAAGATGAAACAATCCTGCCACTTAGATCTCTCCTGTTCTGTCAGCCCATTCTCTCTAGCTTCCATCTTCCTGTGCGTTTGCCTTTTTCTCATCACCTTATAGAAAGTCTTTGTGTAGACAGGATTTGGGCTTTGGGTCTGATATACACGTTGTAAGTATCTTTTCTCCATCCATGGCCTCTTTTCACTTTTAAGCAAATACTTGTCAATCTCACCCCGAATCCTACGTGTGTTATTTTTCACTGTTTTTTTCCCCCTTAAGGTTTCAGGGTGCGGGGAGCCTCGATGACTTGGCACTGCCCAAAATACGAGATTCTTTTTCAAGATTTATTTTTATTTTATGTGTATGAATTTTTTTTTGCATGTATGTACGTGCACCACATGTGTGCTTGGTGCCAGTCACGGTCAGAAGAGAGCATCAAATCCCTTTGGAGTTACAGATGGTTGTGAACCACCACGAAGGTGCTGGGAACCTGACCCAGGTCCTTTGGAAGAGCAGTGCGTGCTCTTAACTGATGCACCCTCTCTGCAGCCCCAGCAGTCCTGGATTTTGAACTTCTTTTCTCTCTTGACCTTCCTCTGCCACCAGAGGTCACACAGTGAGCTCTGGTCCTCTGGGTTGGTGAGGTCAGGTCGTATAGGGTCTAGGGACCAAGCTGTAGCCTTGGGTCTGGCAGACAAGGTGCTCTGGGATGCCCAGCTGTCACATGTTCATGGATCCTAGGACCTCATCACCCACACTGGAGCACAGGCAGGACCCATATGCAGAGCAGGCCTGGAGTGCTGCCATCTAGCCTCTCCCACAACCTCCTCAGGGTGGCTTTGTGCTTCCTGTTTGAGTGACTCTAGCGGCTCTGTCCTTACCAGAAGCTCAGAAATCCTACAGACAGGGCCATCAAGATGGTTCAGCAGCTAAAGTTACTTGGTGACAACCCTGCCACAGACAAATAATTTTTGAAAAATCCTCTATAGAGGGGTTTCATGGCACTCCCCTCAATAATAATAACTCAAAATGGAATACCAAGTATGTATGGGGCACTAAAGAATTTATATTCGTCATTTCATTTACTCTGCACAGCAACACTAGGAGTCTACACTACTGTCCTTTATCCAAAGGTGGAAATAAACAAACCAATCTGCTTTAGACCTCGAAAAATGACTTGTGGTAGGTTAAATGGCTCCTGAAAAATGTACTCACATCTGGGCTAGCATGTGCAAAGTCCTGTATTCCATCCCTAGCACAGCCAAGAAAGAGAAGTACACAGGCATGCTCAGACGGCAGTTTTGTCTTCTGTACAATGTATGATCCTAGCTCTGGCCACTTGTGAAGAGGCTGTGAGCATCTTCCTGGATGCCCGGATTTATGAGACTGTCGATGTTTGCATTTCAGGATCCAGGTCTTCTGAAAAGTCCTCTCAGGATCCTTCTCTACAGCCTTCTGTTAGCCTTTCCCCATTTGACAGCTTTTCTCTGTTATAAAAGAGGAAACTGAAAAATATTAATTATGAACACAACCCTGGCATCTAAGAAGTGCCTGTGACCACCAGAGCATGTTAGAGAGACAAGGCACAAAAGAAAACAGGCAGATTTAGACGTGGGATTCCGCCGTCTCTCACCATTTCTGCCTCAGAGGACACACCCCGGGCTCACTTCCTTCTCCTTGTTCCTCCAGGTCCATGCTTGGGTCTTCACTTCTTCTGAAAGAAGCAACAATTAGGCACTCAGGTACCCTGTGTGGGCTGAGTGCCAGGTGTGCACCCCCAAGAGCAGCTACCCGGCACCAGCCTGGCTGATTTGCCTCCCTGGAGATTCACCTCATCTTCCAGTGCTGCCTGCCTTATGACACTTTCTCACAGTTGCTTAAAACAAAACCACAGCTCATGGGTGATTCACAGCCCTGGGCTCTGGAGTCCCTGGGGTAGAGCTTGGCACGACATAGAAAGTCTCACTGCGGCCCCCATCACCTTAGCTTTCTTTCTGGGAAGTGGGGGCAGGGGGAAGGCATAAGGGATCCTGAGTCACCAGTCACCTGTTAGACTTCCACCTTGTCTACCACGTCTCTCCCACTTCCCAGGAGTGTTAGATTTCTAGGGCTGCTGAAATAAAGACCACAACTCTGGTGACTTAAAACAGCAAAAGTTTCTTTCTTTCTCTCTGTTTCTCTCTCTGTCTCTGTCTCTCTCTCTCTCTTTCTTTCTTTTTCAAGACAGGGTTTCTTTGTGTAGCCTTAGCTGAACTAGAACTTGCTCTGTAGACCAGGCTGGCCTCAAACTCACAGAGATCCACCCGCCTCTGCCTCTTTAATCCTGAGTGCTGGGATTAAAGGCGTGCTCTACCACCGCCCAGCCCCTTCACATTTCTTGAGACTTGAAGTCCACACTCAAGGTGTAGGGGTAGCATATACAAGCTTCTGTCCCAAGCTTCATTTTAGTTCCTGGAAATTGTCAATAGCAGGGGTTCCCCATGCGGTCTCTCCTCATCTTATCTTGACATTTGACTGGGGAGGCTCACCTTTGTCAGGAGGGGAGCAGGAAATGAGAGGGGACTCACCATAACAAGAGTGACAGCTGACAAGAAGAGGCAGATCATCACTAACACAAGTGTTCAGAAAGTTCTGCAATGTGGGGACATCTGGTACAGAGTAAAGAGCTCCATTGGTACCAAGCAAATGAGAGTGCCAACCTGTGTTCATCAAGATGATTCTGGACCACAGAGAGAACGCTGGTGAGGGATTTATGTTTGCATACGAAGGGTGTGGGCAGACGTTGGCCTGGAGACCTTATATATCAATCATCAAAGAGGGAAGCTATGGTAGCTGATTTGTCCACCACATCAGAAAACAACCACGGGGACAACATCCCAAGAGCCACCTTGCTATGACCTCTGCTCAGCCTTTGTGTCATCCATTCCTGTCTACAAGTCTTGACCAGGTAGCTGTCCTGGTCAGGCTCTGCTGTGATGAAGAAATGTTCCCAAGGCTTTGGGTTCTGGTCTGAAGGAGTTCAGAGCCTTTTGAGCTATCAGACCCGAGTGAGGCATCCGGAGGTGTGTACAAGACATTTCTCAAAACTGCCAACCCCACCAAACGATATGGCCTTAGAGGCAAGTCTCATTTAGTGGAAAGTTCTTTGGCAGATCAGCAATTTCCCTGGTGACACTGAATAAAAGAGGCACTGGGGGTACTCATATGAGTCTTAAGAATGTAGAGATGATGCCCGTCAGCATCAGCCTTAGTGCCGGGTGTAGAGAGAGAGTATATACATGTGTGAGAATCCAAAGCAACACAGAGGAAGTGGTAAGACATGGAGAGGATTGCTAGGGCTTGCTAGCCAGCCAAGCCAGAAAAGGGTGTGTGTGTGTGTGTGTGTGTGTGTGTGTGTGTGTGTGTGTGCGCGCGCGCGTGTGTGCGCGCTCATGGGGGGCTCCAGGTGAGACTTTCTCTCAAGGGAATAAGACAGAGAGAGCTAAAATAAGATGCTCCATAGCCCCCTCTGGCCTCCACACACGTGACACACACAGATAGCCACACAGATGCACACATCACGTACATACACGTGTACCACACACACCACATCAAAACAAAGCACACCAAACGGGCTGATTGCAAGGGGTGGACCCTTGCCTAACCTTGTTTATGAATGTGTGAGGGAGTTTTGTAGGAGTGTTCTTGTGTGTAAGCACATGCGTTTGTTAAATGTCCAGGGAACAGGGACTTGGTCCTTCCTGTTCCTTTTGTGTCTTCACATCTGGCAGTTTCAAATAAAAAGTTTGTAGTGTGATGTTAGCTGGGATTCTGGGGTCAAACAGCATGGGCACCTCTTTTATTGTTTTAGTTAATTAATTAATTAATTTCGATTTGTGGAGACAGGGTTTCTCTCTGTGTAGTCCTGGAACTGGCTCTGTTGACCAGGCTGGCCTCGAACTCAGAGACTGCCTCTGAGTGCTGGGATTAAAGGTGTGCGCCACCATGCCTGGCTTCCTGGGTGCTTCTTTATTTGCATATTTTATGTATATGGTGTTTTGTCTGCATGTACATGTGCACAACAGAACAGAGCATCGGATCCCATGGGACTACAGTTATAGGTGGGTTGTGAGCCACCATGTAGGTGCTGGGAATTGAACTCAGGACCGATAGAAGAGTAGCCAGTGCTCTTAACCACTGAGCCATCTCTCCAGCCCCTGTGTGTGCTTCTTACTTGTGAGCAAATCACCACTGTGGGCCTCAGTTGTTCATCTATAAATGGGTATGAATGCACCTTACAAACATATTGAAGAGTTTAGAATAGTGGAGAATAGGCAGTCTGGTGATACATGCCTTTAAACTCAGCACTTGAGAGGCAGAGGCAGGTGGGGCAGGCAGATCTCTGAGAGTTCGAGGCCAGTCTGGTTTACACCATAGCCAATTCCAGGACAGTCAACCTACACAGTGAGATCCTTTGTCAAAAAAGAAAGAAACAAAACAAAACTGTGGCGAGCGAAGTTATACCCAACAAATGACAACTTCAGCTACATCACAACTAGCGCCTGGCTCTGGGCTAAGTCCGTTCAGAACAAGTTTAAAGACCATTTACAAGGAAAGGCCCTCTTCCCTTTCCCACCCTCCATTTCTTTCTATGGGAAGGGCCATACAAGGCAGTCAGGGGGTTAACGTTCCCGGCTGTCCAAACTGCACTCTGCAGGAGAGAGGGATTTGCCTCGAACTGAAGCCAAAGCTGGGTGCAGAGCGCCCTCGCCTGGTAGAGTTGGGTTAAGGCGACTCCAACCTGATCAAGGCTGACTTCAGCATGGGGGTGTCTCCTTCGCAGGAAGCCTGGCCAGGGCAGAGGAAGGGGAAGGGGATACTTTTAAGGCTTCCTAAGAGCCATCTGCTTTCTTGGTTTTTCTTCCCTCTAAGCTCGCTCTAGAGACGGCCCCACCCATTAGACTGGTCCAAGCCCCTTGTTACAAATCCCCAGTGCACTCCTCTGCAGGGTCGTCGGAAGTGACCGGGTGGGGCAGCCTATCGATTGTCTGATTGCTGCGGACCCCAGATGAGCCTCTTAGCCTGTGCCAGAACCAGAGTATCTGTAGAAGAGTACAAGGTCACAAGGTCACCTTCAGCTACCTACTAAGTTGAAGACTAGCCTGGGCTACAAGAGACCCAGCTTCAAAATCAATCTCTCTCTCTCTCTCTCTCTCTCTCTCTCTCTCTCTCTCTCTCTCTCTCTCTCTCTCTCTCTCTCTCTCTCTCTCTCCTCCTCCCTCTCTCTCTCCAGAAAAAGACTCAGATCTCCAGCAACACCTGAGACCGTGGGCTGAAGCGCAGAGGTTGGGGCAGCTGTCAGGAAGAGCCATTTCACAAACACTGTGTCACATGCTGAATTGGACATTGGCGATTGAACATCTGGCCAAGCTAGACACATTTCTGACTTTTCTCCTAATGGGACAAGCACATCATTCGGTAAGTTATGAAAGTGTACCCCATACACCCCATATACACACATTCAGACACCATTACATCTACACCCATTTTACAGGCAGACAGACTGAAGCTCAGAGAGGACTCTTGGGTGGTGAAGGATGTTGTCTCCCAGTGGTTGGGTCTGTAGGGATACAAGAGGGCAGTGGTGTGTGGCAGGCCCTGTGAAGGCAGCTCCTGGAATCCTGTCACCTACCTACAGCAATCGGAAAGAGAAGGGCTGAGGTAGGAGGGGAATCCTATTTCAAGGACTGGAAGATGCTCACATTGGCAGCAGACACCTCTAGGCAGACCCAGAGGGTGTTTACCCATAGGAGAGGGGCCTGAAGAGAGGATCATGGGAGAAGGGGATGGAGGTACCTGGACAGGGATGGAACAGTGGTGGGAGGGGGTCATCTCAGAAGGGCAGAGTCCAGCCCCATCTCCTGAAGCAGGCATCTTTAACACTTAGATGTCATTCCTCTGTTTTGTCCCCAGTGAACTCACAGTGACAGCCTGGGACAGGCCTCAGCCAATAGCAGGGATCCTGCTTTCTCCACCCCTGGTACAGGGACCTCAATGTCTGAAAGGGACGTACAAAGGGCAAGTGGAAGGGGCAGCTTGTCTCTGCCCAGGGGTCAGGAGCCCAGCAGCCTGCCAGAGGCATTATGGGAGCTTGGACTTAGAGAGGAAGGAGACCTGGCAGCCACTTGTCACTGGAGCTTGTGTCCTGCCTCCCTGTCATTGTTAGCAGTCCCTTGTATCCAGCCTGGTACGTGTGTGTACACAGGTAAATCCCAGTCTGTCCGTTTCTCCTCCCCCCTCCTCACACTGAGATAGAATCTCATGTAGCCCAGGCTGGCCTCAAAGTTGTTATATACCTAAGGATGACCTTGAACTTCTGATCCTCCTGTCTCCACCTCTCAAGCGTTGGGGTTACAGGTGTGTGCCACCAGGCCCAGGTGTTCCCTTTTCTTTTACACAAATAGCAGCATTATAGGCCGATTGCTCTATACATCATTTTTTCCTAATTCTTTATGTAACACACCTTGAAATTTGTTTGATCTTAATAAACATCGCCCATTAAAAACTGGCAGTCTCTGTAAGGTGGCTCAGTGGGGAACAGTGCTTGCCACCAAGCCTCACGACCTGAGATCAGTCTCCAGGACCCACATGGTGGAAGGAGAGACTCACTGCCACAAATTGTCTTTTGACCTCCACATGAATGCTGTGTACCAACAGTGTACAGACACATTTAAAAACACACACATCTAAGTAAACTTAAAAAGAAACCCAAATATAACCTTTCTTCAAACCACGTGCAGGGTAGCATCAGGCCTTCCACCCCAATCTGGCACTAGTGAGAGAGTTCTCTTCTTACTGCGGACGTGATGCGGCCTGCCCCCTGACATGTCTCTCCTTGTTTCCTTTCCATTATGAAAGCATAGAAGAGCCAGTCCCCCCTAAGACACCACAACGGTCCTAAACACGGACATGCAAAAGGTCAGACCTGTAAAATATACGAAGCAAAGGCTGATGGATTGGAAAGGACAGACTTCAATAGCCCTTTCATATTTTGGAAGAATGAAGAAGCAGAAAATCAGCAAGATTACAGAATTCTGCATCACCATTAGCCCGCAGCATTTAATGGACGTCTAGCAGATTCACTAAACAGCAGAACACACATTTGTTTCAGATGCTTGAAAACCGTGCACCAAGACTGACCTCATCCTGGGTTATCGTCCTTTGTTTTCCATTGTGATAGAAGAAATCTTTTTTTTCTCTCTCTCTCTCTCTTTTTTTTTTTCACAGACAGGGTTTTTCTGTGAATTTTTACGCCTTTCCTGGAACTCACTCTGTAGCCCAGGCTGGCCTCGAACTCACAGAGATCCACCTGGCTCTGCCTCCTGAGTGCTGGGATTAAAGGCATGCGCCACAACCGCCTGGCTGTGATAGAAGAAATCTTTACCAAAGAAACCTTAAGGGTTCCTTTTCGTTCACAGTTCAGGGTAGAGTCCATCATTGAGGGGAAGTCAAGGCAGCTTGTATAAGCAGGCCACATCACTTCCACAGTGAGAAGAGAGCAACAGATGCATGCATTCTAATATCCAGCTCTCTTTCTTCATTTTATACAGCTCCTGGGTCTCCTGCCCAGGGAATGGTCCAACCAAAATGGGTCTTCCCAAATTGATTTCAACCAACGTAACCCAGATAATCCTTCATAGGCATGCCCAGAGGCCCATCTCCCGAGTGGCTTTAGAGTTTTCAATTTAAAAATTGACACTGCGGTGGTTAGAAAGAAAATGGCCCCCAAAGGGAGCGGTACTATTAGGAGGTGTGGCCTTGTTGGAGGAAGTGTGTCACTGTGGGGGTGGGCTTTGAGGTTTCCTCTGCTCAAGCTTCGCTCAGTGTGACACAGAGTGGCCTTCCTGTTGCCTGCAAGATGTAGGACTCTGAGCTACTTCTCCAGCACCATGTCGGCCTGTATGCTGCTATGTCCCGCCATGACGATAATGGACTGAACCTCTGAACTGTAAGCTGCCACCACAATTAAATGTTGTCCTTTATAAGAGTTGCTGTGGTCATGGTGTCTCTTCACAGCAATAGAAACTCAAATCTCAACAAATTGAAAAGAATTAAAACCATACGGAATACAGTCTCTAAACAATGGAATCAAACTAGAAATGTATGACAAAACAATAATGGGAAAATGTCTGAACCTTTCAAAACTAAACAGCACACGTCTGTAGCTAGAGTTTTCCTGTCTGGCCCACAGTCAGGACAAATCTCTGTCACCAGCCAGCCCCACAGCCACTCAGACCCAACCAAGTAAACACAGAGACTTATATTGCTTACAAACTGTATGGCCATGGCAGGCTTCTTGCTAACTGTTCTTATATCTTAAATTAACCCATTTCTATAAATCTATACCTTGCCACATGGCTCGTGGCTTACCGGCATCTTCACATGCTGCTTATCATGGTGGCGGCTGGCAGTGTCTCCCTCACTCAGCCTTCCACTTCCCAGAATTCTTCTCCTTGTTCTGCCTATACTTCCTCCTGCCTGACTATTGGCCAATCAGTGTTTTACTTACTAACCAATCAGAGTAACACATTTGCCATACAGAGCATCCCACAGCACACGTCTAAATAGTTCACAGGTCAAAAAGAAGCCTCAGAGAATTTATTATTATGTGCACTCGTATGTGTGTGTGTATGTGTGTGTGTGTGTGTGTGTGTGTGTGTGTGTGTGTGTGTGTGTGTGTGTGTGTATATGCATACATATTTCTAAATACATAAATACAACCTGCCTAGTCCATATAATGTCACTTGTATATATATGTTTTCAGGGCTGATTGATATTGGATAAGCAGCAATTGGTGTGTTCTTTCCTGGGAAGACTATTCTAGTCTCAGCATTCCTAGTTGCTTGTAGCTCTTTGTCTAGGGTTGAGGACTGGGTGAGCTTTCCCTCTCCCACATTAGCATGCCTATTGGTACCTTTGTCCTTCAGGATACGTTTAGACAGCCATATTGGTGAAACTCCATGGGTGTAGCTCCTCTGACATGTCTAAGACACACAATTTCACACCAAGCTTCTTGTTTCTCTGGCTCTTAAAATCTTTCTTCCCAGACTGGAGAGATGGCTCAGAGGTTAAGAGCGCTGGCTGCTCTTCCAGAGGTCCTGAGTTCAATTCCCAGCAACTACATAGTAGCTCACAACCATCTATAATGAGATCTGATGCCCTCTTCTGGTGTGCAGACATAACACTGTATACAAAATAAATTAATTTAAAAAAAAAAATCTTTCTGGGGTTGGGGATTTAGCTCAGTGGTAGAGTGCTTGCCTAGCAAGCACAAGGCCCTGGGTTCGTTCCTCAGCTCCAGGAAAAAAAAAATCTTTCTGCCCCCTCTTCCATGATGCCCGAGCCTTAGGTGCAGGGGTTGTGTTGCTGATGTACAGTTGGGACCGGGTTCTACATTTCTGCCTTTTGATCAGTGTCGTGTTCTGTAGTAGTCTCTGTCTTTTGTAAAAATCCCTCAATGAGGCAGGAGAACTGCACTGATCTGTGGGTATAGGATACATATTTAGAATGTAGTTAGGGATTGTGATAGTTTAGGAAGATAGTGGTCGTAGGTTCTCCTCCACGATCCATGGCTTCCCTAGCCGGGGGAAGTTGGCTAGGTCTCTAGAACCCGGCATGATTTCCCTCTGGTTGAGTAGGCTGTCAGTCTAACTTGAGAGCTGGTGGTTACTGCCAAGGTGTTTGTGCTGCTGCTGCACCTTAGGGATATTGTGCCATGCTGGTCATTTTTCTGGTTCAAAGGAGTCATAGCTGGGTAGATCTCCTTAGAAAGCTTCCATGGTGCCTTCTGGTACCATGAAATTTAGTTCTCAGGAAGGAGGCTTTCAGGTCAATTTTTATTTTGTTTTTAAACTTGGGTTCTGGAAAACAAATTCAGAACCAACTCCATGAAGTTGTGCCCTGACCCACATGCATGCTAAGGCTTGTGTACCCACATGCATACATTATATACACATACAATCATAATAATAATAGTAAAAAGTATAAATGTTATAAAGATGTTTAAATGTTATAAAAAATAAAATAAAAGTCGAGCATTGGTGATGCACACCTTTAATCCCAGTACTTAGGAGGCAGAGGCAGGCAGATTTCCGAGTTCAAGGTCAGCCTGGTCTACAAAGTGAATTCCAGGACAGCCAAGGAAACTCTGTCTAGGAAAAAAAAAAGACTCAGATCAAAGGCTAGCAAGATGGCTTCTTAGTGGGCAAAGGTACTGGATAACAAGCCTGATGCTGTGAGTTTGATCCCCAGGACCCACAGAAGTGAAAGGTGAGAACTGAGTCCCACAAGTTGTCCTCTGACCCCCACATGCAAGCTGTGGTGACCTGCATACACAGAAATAAATAAATAAATAAACAAACTATAAAACATAAAACTGATTTTATAGTTAACACTCTCAAGAAAGAAAGGTCCAAGCCTAAATAGTTTCAGTGGGAAATACTAAGGATTAGAGAGCTTCTGGGTGGCACATGTCTTTAGTCCCAGCACTCAGGAGGCAGAGGCAGGCAGATCTCTGTGAGTACAAGGCCAGCCTGGTCTACAGAGTGCTGTTATACAGAGAAGTCTCAAACAAACAAACAAACAAACAAACAAACAAAAAAACCAAACCAAAAAAAACCACACACAAAACACAAACAAAACAAAACAAAAAGATTAGAGAGTTAATAGACACTAGAGAGAAGGCTCAGTGATTATGAGTGATTAGTGCTTTTGCATTCTTTTTTTTTTTTTTGGTTTTTCAAGACAGGGTTTCTCTGTGTAGCTTTGCGCCTTTCCTGGGACTCACTTGGTAGCCCAGGCTGGCCTCGAACTCACAGAGATCCGCCTGGCTCTGCCTCCCGAGTGCTGGGATTAAAGGCTTGCGCCACCGCCGGCACTGCTTTTGCATTCTTGAGCTGAGCACTCAACAGTCACTTCCTCTCAGCACCTTGACCAGCCATGAATGTCTACATTAACTGTCATTTACCGCAAAAAGAGGCTTCTCCGACCAGAACTGAGGGCCGTTCCCCTCTGTGGGTTGATCCACATCAGGTGGATCACAACTCTGATTCCAATCTGATTCCTTTCGGCCTCCGAGGGCACCTGCACACAGGTGGTGCCCAAAACTCACACAGGCACACACATGTTACAAATACAAATAGAAGCTTTTAGAAGAGTTAATAGGCATTCTATATAGTCTCTTTTAGAAACCAGAAGGAATGCTTCTGTGTCCCAGTTTGCTTTCTGCTGCTTGGGTAAACACCACGACCAAAAGCAACTTGAGGGGAGAGTTTATTTCAGCTTCTGCTTCCGGGTAACAGTGCATCACTCAGGGAAGTCAGGGCAGGAAGTCAAGGCGGGAACCTGGAAGTAGAAACTGATACAGAAGCCATGGGTAACTGCTGCTTACAGGCTTGCTCCCCATGGCTTGCTCAGCCTGCTTTCTTATATACCTCAGGAACAACTACTCAGGGTAGCACCACCCAAAATGGGCTGGTCCTCCCATCAATCATTAACAAAGAAAATTCTCCACAGGCCTGCCTCCGGGCAATATGGATGGAGGCATTTTCTCAATTGAGGTCCCTCTTCCCAGATGACTCTAGCTTGTGTCAAGTTGACAAAAATGAATGAATGAATGAATGAATGAATGAATGAAATAAAAACCTAACCAGGATAGCTAGGCATGGGATACTTCCCTGTGAATTATTGACCATGAAGGCTCCAGAGACCTCTAAAATAATACAGGTTATTACCACTGTTATTGTTTGCCCCCCAGATTTAGACAGTGTCTTAGTCACTGTTCTATGGCTGTGAAGAGACATAACCACAGCAACTCTTATAAAAGAAAGAACTTAATTGGGGGCTGGCTTACAGTTTCAGAGGGTGAGTCCATTATCATCACGGTGGGGGCATGGCTGGAACACTTCAGGAGCATGGAGGTACTCATGGCACTGGAGCAGTACCTGAGAGCTACATCCTGATCTGCAGGCCGAGATAGACAGACAGACAGACAGAGAGACAGAGTGAGATGGAGAGAGAGAGACAGGAGGGAGTTCGCACTCGTTACTGTGAGCCTGGTCAAAGAATCATAGTTGGGGAAATCACAGGTCCTCAGGAGGAGCCTACTGCTGTTGCTTTGCTAAATGAATATGTCATCTCCTAAATATTTGTTTACACCCACAGAGTGGAACAGCCCTCAGTTCTGGTCGGAGAAGCCTCTCTTTGCAGTAAGTGACAGTTAATGCAGACATTCATGGCTGGTCAAGGTGCTGAGAGGAAGTGACTGTTGAGCACTCAGCTCTCAGCTCTCAAAGAATGCAAGGACTGGAGGAAGGGGCAGAGGGTTCTGGCAGGGTATCTTCTAGGGATGCCATGGCATTGCAATCATAAACTCAGAGCAACTGCAGTTATCTGCACAGGACCTGCATGAAACTGGATCCCCAGCAACATTCCGTCATGGACGAGGGAGGGGCTCATGAGATGTTGCTAAAATTCCTTCCCAGGAGGAGACATAGGCAAACTCTGCTCTTCCTCCCACAGAATCACAGAGTCGTGATTCTGCCAAAGATCACTCTGGGGGAACCAATGAGTTTACGGAACTTCCTGACAAAGCATACATAGGTGAGGGGTTCCTTACAAGTTGCCCCCCAAAAGCCACATCTGGAAGCCTCTATCCAGCAGGATTGAGGGCTTCTCCAGTAGCCAGGTAGCTGGATCCCCCTTCCCTGGCTATAAACTCTAACCTCTTCCTGAGGCCATGTTCAATTAAGGCAGAGTTAGTTGCATATAGCAGGTAGTAGGGTGCAGCTGGATACTCAGGAGAGGGTTTGTGACCCTTCTCTCCACTCCATGAGATGTAAACAGTAAACAAGTCCAGCTGGGATAATCCTTTTACAAGGGGGCCAGCTGAGCTCCCCAGAGATGGTGTTTGCACACAACACGGGGCCTGGCTCCTACATGAAAGCTATCGGCAGTTATGGCTGCTGAGCCACTGGTGAGCTATCTATGCTCCGATGGATAGCTCCACACTCATTTCCACGTGGGCGGCTTGTGGGTCACCAAACAAAAGCAATAAGAAGACATGATAGTGGAATGAGGACTTGTTGAGGAGGGGTGGGGGCGGGCAAGGGAGGGAGGGAGAGAGAGTGTCACAGTGCAACTTGTAATTTTCCTTTCTTTTTGAGACACGGCCGCACTCTTGTAGCCCAGGCTAGCCTGGAACTAACTAGCTGTAGACCAGACTGGCCTCAAACTTGTGGCAATCCTCCTGGCTCTCTCTCCCGAGTGTTGGGATTACAGGCATGTACCACTAGGCCCAGCTCTTCACTTGTATCCTGTGCGGTAGATAGTCTTGCATACCACAAGAAATTAAGGCTCAGAGAAGTAAATCAGACTGAAAGTTCTGCATTGTTTTGACCTCTGGTTCACTGGCTGAACGAATGGGAGAAGAACCGCCCATTCGTTCCCTCTCTCTCCACGCTCCCTTCCTGCCGGGTGCCAGGAGTCCAAAGGCCACAGAACATAAAATGCATTATTTTTTGTGGTTGGGATCAAAGTCCAGGCCCGTTGCAGCTCAGCTCTGCACCTCGAGTTAGACTCCGCCCCCAAGTCTCAGCCCCAGCGGGACTCATGAATATTCAAATAAGGAGATATTTAAAGACGCCGGCGCCAGGCGTAGATCCCTGCCCCGCGCCGTACGGCCCCGTTCATTGAGTTCATCAGTCCTAGCGGAAGCGCCGCCAGCATGTCTGATAAACTGCCCTACAAAGTCGGTGAGTCCCAGGGGTGCAGTCCTCCGCAGCGACTCGGCTCCCCGCCCTGGGCTTGTTGTCTGTACCAACCTGAGTCTGGTCTAGGCAGCGGCCTCGGGGCGCCCGGGACCCCTAAAATCGCTGGCCTGGCCTCGCAGGTGCCTGGGGGTTGGAGTCCGCGCGCCGCAGAGAGCTAGGAGTGGGAAGCAGCCACGAACTACAAGTCCCGGCGTGCCCCGCGGCAGGCGCCCTGAGCGGCGGCGCGGGCTACGATCCTTGGGTTCGGCAGCGTGCTTCTTGCGGAGAGACTGGCCCTGGGGAAGCCGACCTAGTGGCTCTGGCTCTGGTGTCTGGCGGCCTGTGTGGCCCCCAACAAGGGTCCACCACCTTCTGGGCCTTGAGCGGGGCCGGAGAGCGCACTAGTACTCTAGGTGCTAGTGAGGAGAGGCCTGGAAGGCAAGTCCCGGTGCACCGGGGACTTGGGGCCAGCTCAGTCTGTGGGATTATCTGGTGCATGACCAGAAGAAAATTTAGAATAGTTAGAAATTCCCCATCTTTTCGTCCCGGCGACGGAAAGCTGACCGAGTAAACAAATGTTCGGTTGAGCGTTTGCAATGGGATAGGCGCTGCCTTGTAGCATTATTCTAGACTAATCCGTTTTATTACCGTAGCTCCCTAAGGAAGGAACAATTCCCCTTTTACGATGAAAACCCAGAGGTATAGAAGTTATTTTCCCAGAATCTTGCAACTGGGAAGTGGTTGGCTAGAATTTGGACCCAATACGTCATGACTCCTGGGCTCATCTCTTTCACTGCTGTCTGTATGCAAGGGAACACATGTGGAACAACCCTAATGAAATTTCAGCACAATCCAATTCAGACTGGGCTTAGTGACACAAGCTTGTTATCCCAACACTCACTTCTGAGGCTGAGGATCGATCAGAGGTCAGCCTGGGCATACAGTGAATTCCAGGTCAACTTGTACAAAATAGGGAGAGCATATCAACAAAACTACAAACTAACCAAAAAAAAAAAAAAAAAAAAAAGCAATTCAGGCTGGCTAGCCTTTAAGATAATTTCAAGATGCCATTAAATTGGAGAGGGTCACCGGCATGAGATGGATGCTATCCCATTATACAGAGAAGTAACCTGACGACGTGACTTGGAAAATTCTTATTAAAATAGTTCATCAGCTAGATTATTGTCTCCATTGGTTAGATGTTGAAACTGAGGTTTAAGTCAGTGTTGTCTTGGTGGAACAGCTAGAATGGAGACTTCTCATACTGTGGAGGGTTTGGGGAACCATAGGTTGTGTGGATAGGTCCTTTTGGTTTGCTCTTTTTGACAGGTGTTCCTGTGACTTCTGTAACTCTGGTTCTCTTGGCACCCAGAGCTCCAGAGTTTGGTACACTAGCTCCTCCTGTCCCTTTGGAGTGGAAGTCCCAGGAGAACTTTGGGACTGGCACAGCTGCCCCAGGGGCATTGAAAGAATCTTTTTTAGCTAGAGGCACACCTAGTAGACAGGGTAGGATTTAAGCAGGAAAGCCCCAAACCCATTGTCCTCTCCAGGAAGGCCTTGAGAGCAGCCTCGCCATCCGCCCTGCCTCTGACTGGAGACTGTAAATGCTGGAAGTTATACTAGGTTCTCCCTCCCTCCCTCCCCCTCTCTCCTCCCTCCTCCCTCCTCCCTCCCTTCCTCCCTTTTGCCATCCTTGCCCTATGCCAACCTTTTATGAATCTTTGCTCATTATGATGTGGTCAATAAACATTTTCTGGTCTCCTCCTCTGTGCCAAGCCTTGCTGGTCACTGGAGATATAAAAGTGACCCAGGTACAGTTGAGACAGAGAGGCCTATATAGTGTAGCACAGTCTCTTTGTGTTTTGAGATCGGTCACTTTTCACTCTCCATGGCTGCCAGCCCCCATTCTCGTCTCTCTTCACAAGTCTCTGGTCCTCATGCTGCCATTTTGTTTGCTTGTATTTGGGGCCTCAGCTAGCACTGAACTCATTAAACTCCCGTCATCCTCCACAGCACTGTGCTTAGAGGTTTATGTCTTAGAGTTGGCCAGTAGGATCTTTCAAAAGACAAATCTGGTCATAGAATGATACCTCTTTTGAAACTCTGTAGATGACCTTCCTCACTGCAAGTAAAGTCTTGATTCTTCTTCTTTTTTTTTTTTTTGGATTTTTCAAGACAGGGTTTCTCTGTAGTTTTGGTGCCTGTCCTGGAGCTCGCTCTGTAGACCAGGCTGGCCTCGAACTCACAGAGATCCCACCTGGCTCTGCCTCCCGAGTGCTGGGATTAAAGGTGTGCACCACTGCCACCCGGCCATCCTGATTCTTAATGCCTCTGAGTCAGCCTGGCCCGTTTTCAGTTTTTTTTTTCCTTTCTCATTTTTATTATATGTGTATGTATGGGTGTTTTGCCTGCATGCATGTCTATGACCATGTGTGTGTGGTGCCTACAGAGGCCAGAGGAAAGCGCTGGATCCCCTGGGACTGGAGTTATAGGCAGTTGTGACTCTCCATGAGCTGTTAGGAACTGAACCCCAGTACTCTGGAAGGACGTCAATGGTCTTAACCGTTAAGCCATCTCTCCAGCCCCTCCATTTTCAGGTGTTTTTGAGCATATACTGAGCCAGGTAGTTGATCTGGCACTTGGTATGAGCCATCCAGGGTAACTGCTCGTGTTAAAGCCCTATGATGGGAGAGGTCCGTGTGGCTGAGCAGCTGGTGAGGGGGACAAGGTGGGGACAGAAGCAGCTGGTAGACTGGGGAGGGGCCTGAAGCCAGGGAAGGATTAGGATTTTAAAGTTTTTTTTAAAGATTTATTTATTTATTATGTATACAGTGTTCTGTCTACATGCATGCTTGCAGGCCAGAAGAGGGCACAAGATCTCATTATAGATGGTTGTGAGCCACCATGTGGTTGCTGGGAATTGAACTCAGGACCTCTGGAAGAACAGCCAGTGCTCTTAACTGTTGAGCCATCTCTCCAGCCCCCGGATTTTAAAGTTTTAAAGGTTTCCCACTGGGCTGTAATGAGGAGCATGGTATGTGGGAACCATGGTATGTGGGGACCATGAAGCTGCTTTGTAGATCCAGCTGAGAAGTGGTGCTTTACACAGGGTGAGATGTTCAGTCAAGCGCATGCCGCATGCCGCAGGCGGTGGGACATAGTGGCCCACACCTTTAACCCCAGCACTTGGGAGGCAGGGGCAGGCAGTTAGCTATCTGTGAGTTTGAGGCCAGGCTGTTCTACATAGTTTCAGGACAGCCGGTGCTACATAATAGACTCAGTCTCAAGAAACAAAACAAAACAGTAACCCAACAACAGCAAACACAAAACAAAAAAAAAAAAACAAACCCCCAAAACCAGAACTAACCAACCAAACAAATATGCTGACAGAAGCAAATATGGAAACAGGAAATCTTACAGATTCGGGGCCAGAATGGTTGATTGAATGGTGATTTCATTTCCTGAAATGGGAGGATTGAGGGTGTGTGGCCAAGGAGTCTTGAGGGCACCCTTTTGATGGATAATAATTGGACAACAGTCTAGAGGTGCTGAGTCAGCAGCTGGATTATGTGAGTCTCGAATTCCTGGGAGAAGTTTGCACTGGAGGTAAATGTGTGGGAGTCATCACCACAGGGAAGGCATTCAGAATCATCTGAGTAGGACTTATTTGGCAGGAGTTGGAGAGGGGCGGAGATGGGCTCCCAGGGCTCCTAGAGTATGTGAGGTGAAGAGCAGCCAGGAAGGAAGGAGGGAGAAGAGAGAATCGGATGCCAAGGCAAAGCAGTCGTTAGTGGGGTCCCTGCTCCTGTGAGAAACCTAAGCATAGTTAGTTACCCCAGTGGTACCCGGAATGGAACGGTGAGATCAGAGGGGTGAGAAAATTGGGGACCAGGGACAGCTTATCCTTTTTGACAAACAAGAATGCCTAGTCTAAGCACAAATGAGGATGGACTCCGTGGAAGGAAAGTGAATGACTATGTCCTTGTGAATTGTGAAGCAACGTCATCTGTCAATGGGGAAAGATGCCTGGGGAGAGAAGGGTAAGGATAAACTTACTAGGAAACTTAGGATTGCTGGGATGTGCCAGGTGTCCCTTGAGTTTTATGTTCACAGTAAGCAAGACTGTTGTCCCGGGCCTGTGATTCTCCTGCTGGTTCAGGGCCTTAGGTACAGCGGAGAACTGGCTCCAACCAGGTGGAAACTTTGACTGTTGCTGACTAGGTCTCTGCGAAGCTCAGGATGGCTTCAAAACCATGGCACTTCCTCAGCTTCCCTAGTGCTGGGATTACAGGCATGAAGCCACCCACCCTAGCTTCAGGCGTGAGCTTTGCCAAGGGAGGTCTCAGAGGCTAAGAGAGCAGGTGGTAGACAGTGGGATTCTAACTTGGAGGAAAGAAGAGGAGATCATGAGGGGGGTTTGGTAAGGACCCTGGAAACTGATAAAATCAAAGGTTTAGAGAGTCTGAGCTGCTCCCTCTTGGAGTTGGGAATGTATAGGGAGAAGACATGACTAGAGGTGGTTGCTTGAAATTCAGATTTCTGAAGGAACTCTCATTGATTGCCTGGGGTAGTGTGTGTGTGTGTGTGTGTGTGTGTAGGAGCTGTGTGTATAGCTGAGTGAACCCTCTGTAGGGTGGAGTGACCTTGGGAACTGTTTGTTTGGTGCTGGAAGTTGAACTCAGGGCCTTGGACACTCCTCCCCCCCTCCCCACTGCTCCTTAGAAATTATTTGATGCAATGTAGGAAGCAGAATATTAATAAAGTCTTCTTCTTCTTATTATTATTAGTAGTAGTATTTGAGATAGGGCTCCGTGTGCCCAGGTTGGCCTTGAACTTGCTATGTAGTCAAGGATGACCTTCCTCCTGCCTCCATCTGGAATTAGGCACGTTCCACCACTCCCGGCCTGTTTAACTATTTGCTAAATTATTAAAACTTCTGTAGCAGCCTCCTTTTCTCCTTCACCCCTCATTTCCTAGAGTGAGTGAGATCTGAGCTCCCCAAAGGTAAACGCCGGGGAGATGGCTCAGCTGGCAAGTGTGCCTGTCTTCATAAGCCTGAGGACCCATGTAAACTGCAAGCACTTATAACCTCAGTGCGAAGAGGCAGAGGCAAGAGGCCTACCTAGCCAAGTCAGTGAGCTTCAGGTGCAACGAGATCCTGTCTCAAGAAATGAGACAGAATTGGGAAAGACATTGACATTGGCCTCTGGCCTCTATATACGTGCATACATAAGAAATAATTCAGAAACGAACAAAACCCACCATGAACCCCAGGCCCATCCTCTTGCACCTGCTCGATTTGGGTTTTTCCCAGGGAGCGATGTGGAGGTTGGTAGGTGTCAGTGGGAAGGATCAACAGTGGGATTCATAGTCTCAGCTGTTTTTCAAGGGGCACTTCTCTTTGTTGTGAGTGACAGAATGCCGTGACAGATTGCTCAGCCCAAGGGCTCTAGGGTCACACTTGGATCAGTCCTTACACGGTGATGGTGCTTCATGGCTGATGGGAGGTGGCTCACGTAACTTGCCATCTTGTTCCTGCAGCGGACATTGGACTGGCAGCCTGGGGACGGAAGGCCCTGGACATAGCTGAGAATGAGATGCCAGGTTTGATGCGCATGCGGGAGCTGTACTCGGCGTCCAAGCCACTGAAGGGGGCTCGGATTGCCGGTTGCCTGCACATGACTGTGGAGACTGCTGTCCTCATTGAGACTCTCGTGGCCCTGGGTGCTGAGGTGAGGTCCACAGCTCTGTGACTCCTTTGAGTCCCTTGCCTTCTCTGGATTCAGCCATGGAAGAAGATGGTACTGGTAGGGAGACCTAGCTGGCAGAGCCCCTTCTGGTCACGTGGGTTTCCTCTCTATGTCCCACTGCTGGCCACCTGTTGTATTTTTCCTCCAGTTGGGGGATAGCTGACTCCTCAGTACATCTTCCTGCATGAGAAGAAAACCCCAATATTCCATTTAGTCATCTAAAAGCATGCCCGTTGGCCTTCTTAGGGGTCAAGTGCCCTCTAGAAAGTCACAGTTGCTAGAAAGGTAGAGTGCTATGATTTTTAAGCTCTGGTGGTGTGTTTTTACTGCTCTGGCTTCTAGCCATTCACTTGCCCGGAGTCCTCAGCCTTGGCTTCAGGGCTTTCCTTTCCCCGTTCCTAACAGGGTGCTTCATAGCCACACCAGTGGCCAACAGCCTCGTTTTCCTGGCTCTTCTAGGTGCGCTGGTCCAGCTGCAACATCTTCTCTACTCAGGACCATGCAGCGGCTGCCATTGCCAAGGCTGGCATTCCAGGTGAGCGGCCCTGATGTGGGCTGTGTGAGAGCGGATAAAGCACTTTGCTTTTTCGTGTTCCCTTACTGACTCCTGTAGCAATAGGCTTCCATATGCAGACAGAGGCCCTTAGCCTCTGACTTACAGCAGAGAGCGGCTTTGTCCTCCACCTCATCTCAGATCCCATGGGAAACACTTCCTGACCCGCTGAGCTATGTGGTCTCTAAGGAAAGGATCTTCAGATTGGGAGCCACATGGTGCAGAGGGTAGGGAAGTTCCTTAGAGGGACTCTGTGGATCATTTTCTAAAAAAGTAGTGAGGTGTAAGGCAGAAGAAGAGTCTCAGAGGTGCACTGGCTGAGGTATGGTAGTTTAGGAATTTGAGAAAGAACCAGGGCTAAAGAGAAAGACTTTTGCTGCAGAATGGTACATGTCTTTCTGGACTGCAGCCGGGGTTGGGGGGTGGGGGGGTTAGGGGTGGAGGTAGGGGGTGGGGGTGGGGTGCCAGGGAGGGCTTTGTTAGATTCAATGGTAATTAAATAGAATATACAAGAATCTTTGTCAGGAGCTGGAGAGATGGTTCAGCAGTTAAGAGCACTGGCTGCTCTTCCAGAGGACCCGGGTTTGATTCCTAGTACTCACATGGTGGCTCATAGCCATCTGTAACTCTAGACCTAGGAGATCCAGTATCCACTTCTGGCCTCCTCAGGCTCCAGGCAAGCACAGGGTACATAGACATACTTATACATTTGTGTGTGTGTGTGTGTGTGTGTGGTGGGGGGGGATGGCCCCTAATTCTGTAGGTAGACGGGGCATCGGGAAGGGTTCCTCTATAGCCTCACAGGGCTGAGTGCCTGTCAGCAGCCCCCACCTTGGTGAGGCTTGGTGGCTCTCCTTCAGGAGAGGCCTTGTGTTCAACAGCATTATCTTCTACAGCTGTGGGGAGGGAGGCAGCCGACTGCTTGGCCGGTGTCCTGTGCAAACAGGAGTCTCTTGAACCCCACACCTGTGGAGTTCCACGTGCTGGGAGGAGGGCCGGCTGGCCAGCAGCCAGCACTCTTGTGTCAGATGCTGCTTTACAGTGCTGTGCCGAGCGCTGCGTTTCCTGGTCTCCCTTGGGGTTTTTGTGAGTGGTAATGGTGATGCCTCCTCATGGGGTTTGCCCACGAGAATGGGCATGGAGCAGTTACAGTACCTGGCACAGAGAATGCTCCATCTCTAGTAGCTTCTACAGGGGAACTTTGCCCAGGCATCACCTGAAATTACCCACCACTGAGACTGCCAGGCCCTCAAGACCTTTCAGTGATCCTACCTGGTGGTGCCCAGTGAGTAGGACGTGGGAGTCCTGTTCTGTGTGGGCCAGTGCCCTACTCCATGGAGCCCAGGGAGGAGATGCAAAAGGGAATAATTATTCCTAGACACCTATGTCTAGGGCTGTGTGTGGCCTCTGTGTCACTTGATTTCTGCTATTGAGGCTCCATTTATAGAAGAGGTAAAGGGAGTTCCTCAAAGTCACATGGCTGGGAAGTTCAGAGTCAGGGTTTGAGCTTAGGTCTGTCTAGCTTCAAGCTGTGGGCTTCCCACTGCTGTGTTTTATAAGGATGGACTTAACCTAGGGGTGGGCGTGAGGAAGGAGACCGTACTGGCTCTGTTGGTGTGGTTTTCTGGAACCTCCCTGCCAGCTTCTCATGTGGCACTCACCCTGCAGTGTACGCCTGGAAGGGCGAGACAGATGAGGAGTATCTGTGGTGCATTGAGCAGACGCTGTACTTCAAAGATGGGCCCCTCAACATGATCCTGGACGATGGTGGTGACCTGACCAACCTCATCCACACCAAATACCCACAGCTTCTGTCAGGTAAGCAGGTGTGCCGGGTACTAGTGAGCCTGCTCCTTCACAGACATGAGGAATGGGCCTGGCAGATTCTCCGTAGGACTGGAGCACAGGAAGTTCCTGCAGGCATGGAGTCTGCCTTCTGACTTGTGTAGCTAGAGTTTTCCTGCCTGGCCCACAGTCAGGACAAATCTCTCTCACCCGCCAGTCCTACAGCCGCTCAGACCCGACCAAGTAAACACAGAGACTTATATTGGTTACAAACTGTATGGCCGTGGCAGGCTTCTTGCTAACTGTTCTTACAGCTTAAATTAATCCATTTCCATTAATCTATACCTTGCCACATGGCTCGTGGCTTACCGGCATCTTCACATGCTGTTTCTCATCGTGGCGGCTGGCAGCGTCTCTCTGACTCAGCCTTCCACTTCCCAGCTTTATTCTCCTCCTTGTCCAGCCTATACTTCCTGCCTGACTACTGACCAATCAGTGATTTATTTACCAACCAATCAGAGCAACACATTTGCCATACAGAACATCCCACAGCAGACTTGTGATGTGAAGCCAGGGTAGCTGGGGGTGGGGGCAGAGCTGCTGAGTTCCTAAGCCAAGGCCGATGTCGGGCAGCGCTAGGAATGGTTGAGGAGAAGCAGCGTTGTGTGACAGGGTGGAGGAGGACGGGGTATGGAGAATACAGGAGGCCCTGAGGTAGGAAAAACCAGCCGTGACTAAAGGAAGGAAGCCTTCTCCTGACGTGTTGTGGGCTATGACAGGGTAACTGGGTGAAGAGTGGTGTCGGCCGCTAGCACAGTGGTGGGTGGAAGACACTGGAGCTTGAGTCATTAGGCCTGTAGGACTCTGTGTAGGACGGCACCCGATGACGCCTCCCCTGTTGCTGGCCTCGGTGACGGTGGACTTCACAGTCAGGTACAGAGGTGGGAGTGAAAGGGCTTTGGGTAGAGATGTGTTCTCTGATGTTCTTCCTCTTGTTCAGGCATCCGAGGCATCTCTGAGGAGACCACGACTGGGGTCCACAACCTCTACAAGATGATGGCCAATGGGATACTGAAGGTGCCTGCCATCAATGTCAACGATTCTGTCACCAAGGTGAGCCCTGGGGTAGAGTCAGCTCTGGTCATTGGTGCCCAGCGAGCTTAGGAGTGGATCTCTGAAGGGTGTCCAGGAAGGGTATGGCCTGGGGCATGAAGCCCTTACCTGAGGGGGCATGGGGCAGCAGTCTGAGGGTGGTAAGTGCATTGAAGGGAGGCCTGCACAGTGGATCATAGCTGTTCAGGAACATTGTGGCTTTGGTTATCAAGAGCTTTAAAGTTAAGCACGTTCTTAGACTCAGCAACCTGTCCTGGGCATTGATTCCCTAGAAAGGCTTCTAGACCAGCAGGGAATAGCCAGGGAGATCGTCTTAAGGGTGATGATGAGGAGAGACATGGTGGGTGGGGCCTTGTCTAGAGGAGAAGAGTCTTAGGGGTCTGCCCAGGCTGGCAGTCCCAGTGGGCTCAAGTCTCAGCCCTGTGGGATGCTTGGAGGCCTGGCCTCAGGGTCTTGCCTGCCCCCATCGTCCCCTCGCCCCCTCTCCTTTCAGAGCAAGTTTGACAACCTCTATGGCTGCCGGGAGTCCCTCATAGATGGCATCAAACGGGCCACAGATGTGATGATTGCGGGCAAGGTGGCGGTGGTAGCAGGCTATGGTGACGTGGGCAAGGGCTGTGCCCAGGCCCTGAGGGGTTTTGGGGCCCGAGTCATCATCACCGAGATTGACCCCATCAATGCACTGCAAGCTGCCATGGAGGGTATGATAGTGTGAGGGTCGGCTGTTGGGGTAGAGGAGGGGTGAGGCCACCTTTGATAACACATGTTCAGTGTCCGTGCAGGCTATGAGGTGACCACCATGGACGAGGCCTGTAAGGAGGGCAACATCTTTGTCACCACCACAGGCTGTGTTGATATCATCCTTGGCAGGTAGATACAGGTGGGAGTCCTAGGGAGCAACGGTCCACAGGCTTGGGGCTGTTCTTGGTCTCAGGTCTCTCACAGGGTTGGGCTTCCTCACAGGCACTTTGAACAGATGAAGGATGATGCCGTTGTGTGTAACATTGGGCACTTCGATGTGGAGATAGATGTGAAGTGGCTGAATGAGAATGCTGTGGAGAAGGTGAACATCAAGCCCCAGGTGAGAAGCCCCAGCATTCCCCGCAGGGCTGGCAGTGAAGGGCTGAGGAGGAGGAGCGGGCTTGTAGGTGCCCGCCATGGAAGCTGTTGTAACCTAGACAGTGATGTGTGTTGGAGAAGCCTGGATTCCGAGCTAGGTTGGAGGTATCAGAGTTGACACTGAGGCCTCTGAAGTCCCTGAGGGTATCAGCAGGTGTGTGGAGCATAGTGACCTAGCTGTTTCAGAAAGATTGCATACAGCGGTGGCTGAAGAGACAGGGCTCTGAGGGTGTTCACAGCCTAGCAGGCATGCTGGCAGCTGGCAGCTAAAGTGCGTGGGCTGAACTGGCAGCAGGGTCAGGATGGGGGAGGTCAGGAAAGGGGCACTGCTGCATTTCTGTCTAGAACAGCTCTGCAAAGTAGGCCATTAGTGAGTTAGACAGAGGACAGTTTTGCCGCAGGGCATTGAGAGATGAATTCCTTTGGGGTATATGCAACTTTATTTGGCTTTTATTTGTTGTTGGTTTATTTATTTCTTACCTGATTATAAAAGTAATGCTCCTGGAAGACTTTTTGGCTTTGTACATCAAGAGCTTTTAAGTTAAGCTCTTTTTTGCCATGTAGAGCTGGAGATTAAATCCAGTGCTTCATGTAAGCTAGGAGAGCACTGTTAGCAAGTGAGCCACACCCCCCCAGCCCTGTATTCAACTATATGTAGGACCCGGGTTCATTTCCCAGCACCCACATGGCAGCTCACAACTGTCTGTAATTCCAGTTCCAAGGCACCCAATATCCCTGACAAAATACCAATGCACATAAAATAAAATTTTAAAAATGGTAGTCATGTATGTAAAGGATTCAGTACAGAGTATATGGCAATAATGACAGTGCTAGCTGCTACCCCCTGAGTACCTACAGTATGCCAAGTGCTCTATAGGTCTGAATTCATTAAGTTCTCATAACAGACCGGTGCGGGAATTGGCTACTCTTAATTGTGTGTGCTAGCTTTGTAGGGTGGTTGTTTGGGGGCATTTTAGGCCATCTTGTGCAGGGTAGGGGGTGGGCAGAGACGGGCAGTGCCCACCATCCCTTACTGTTGCCATGGGGACTTGCAGGTGGACCGCTACAGGCTGAAGAATGGGCGCCGTATCATCCTGCTGGCTGAAGGCCGGCTGGTCAACCTGGGTTGTGCCATGGGCCATCCCAGCTTCGTGATGAGCAACTCCTTCACAAACCAGGTGATGGCACAGATTGAGCTGTGGACCCACCCAGATAAATACCCTGTTGGGGTTCACTTCTTGCCTAAGAAGGTGAGTTCTTGACTTGAACTGCAAGCTAAGGCTCATGTGCTGGCTCCTGGGCTCCCTGTGTGGGCTTGCTAGAGTTTCTTAAGTGTCTGCCCTCTTACTTGTCCTCCATAGTCCATAGTGCTCCCTGGAGCACACCCATAGTGGCATGGGCTTTGGAGTGTGACTCACCAGGTTTGAAGCTGTATCTCCATTCCTCAGCTGTAAAGTGAAGGCAGGAGTACTTTCCTTAATAATGGCGAGGACCTCCGAGTGTCTACAAGGATTGGGTGGGTAGTTGGTAAAGTAGGCTGCTGGGTGGGAAGTGAAGGGTTGAAGAATACATGCTCCAGGTAAAGGGGTGGCTGCCACTCAGTTGTCACCAGCCCAGAACACAGCTCCAGAGGACAAGCCTTCTGAGTGCTGAAGAGAAGCCATATGCTAAGGTCTTGGTATGAAATAATTTTAAAATATAGGCAACATATTGTAGTTTTAAAAAAATGGATTGGCCCCATTTGGTTTGTTCATCTGTTTGGTTTTGAGACAGGATCTCATATCCCTGATTGGCCTGGATCTCAGTATGTAGACCAGGCTAGCCTTGACTCCTAGGTCTGCCTGCTTCTGCCTCCTGAGAACTGGGATTAAAGGCAAGAGCCTCCATGCTTGTCTTGGGTCTTTTGTTTGTTCATTTTGTGGTGTTGGACATGGAGCCCAGGTTCTTATACATGCTACACAAATGCCCCTTAGCTGCATCCCTAGTACTTGGTCTGTAGGATGCATGCGGTCTAAGGGTTATTAGGTACCTTAGTTAATGACGAAAGTAGCCACCACTAACTAACTTATCCTCTTGAACAAAAAATCTGAGTGTCACTGATCTTTGTGACAGCCTCAAATGGTGGGTATTTATTATATGTGCCCTACAAATGAGGAAACCAAGGTTTAGAGGCTGGTGTGCTCTTGGGAGTTACTGGGACTCCAGCTCCAGCTGTCCAGGCAGTCGCCCCTTATGTGGCACACTGGTACAGTGCTGTGAGAAGAAAGGCAGCCTCAGCTAGACTGGCCAGGCATGGGAGGCCTTCATTCTGCTTCTAACTAGTATGGATTCCAGGCTAGGCCCATTTTTGCCTTTACTTGCATCTAGCTTGAACCTGTTAATCACTTTCTTTAGGTTCCTTGTCTGCTAACGTAGGCATAATCCTTCCCTTCCTACTCCTGGGGATGTTTGTGAAGCTCTAAGAACATTGAACATAAAACTGCTTGGGAATGTAGACGCACTCTGGGCTGGGCTGTAGCCAGAGTGTCATGCCATTATGATGTAGGACTTTGGGAAGAGAGAGTGCCTCTATTGATAATATGTCCTAGGCCATAGTTCATTTCAGGAAGCGTTCTGGTTAGCGCTTTAGTTAGAGGAGGTGAGGAGATATCATTGGTGGTGCCACCAGAATTATGATGGGAGGGTGTGTATGGTTCTTTTTTTTTTTTTAATTAGTTAATTTTACACCCCCATGGGGAGCTGGGCAGCCAAGACAGCACACTGAAGCTGGCCATAAGGCTGGAACAAGATGTAATGAGAGTAGTACCACTTGCCAGCCAGATGCAGATGAGTGTACTAGAGCATGACGCTAACTCCAAGTTTTTCTGTTCCTCTCCAGCTGGATGAGGCAGTGGCCGAAGCCCACCTGGGCAAGCTGAATGTGAAGCTCACCAGGCTGACTGAGAAGCAGGCCCAGTATCTGGGCATGCCCATTGATGGCCCCTTCAAGCCTGATCACTACCGCTACTGAGAGCCGGGACTGCCCTTCACCTTCCAGCTGCCATTTTGTTCCAGGCCCTACCTCTCTTTCCCAAGAGCAAATGTCACCAACTCTGCTGTTGCTTCACCAGTGTTCGTCCCGCTGGGGCTGGTCACTCTGTCTTTGGACCCTGTTGTGTCCTTCATACTGTTCCAGGTGTGGTGAGGGGGACTGAGAGTCTCCGGTCAAGATAGAGGTACCTGGGAGCCACCCACAAGGGACATGAGCTCCAGAGTCTTGGAAGTCCTGAGGCTGTGGCTAGTGGTGGTCACAAGCCCGTGGACTTTACCATCCAAGCCCTCACATGGTCTTTAGATCCATGTGCTTGGTTTCTTGGCCTGGGACCTGAGAAGGAGCTCTACCAAAGGGCAGGAACCAGTGGAGTTGGAAGGTTCCTCAGAGCTTGGCTTATTTTCCATTGGGCCGTCTCTTCAATCTCAATAATGAGGTTGGTACTTTTGGTCCCTATTTCACAGGGGTGAGAATAGATTAAGAAAGGACAAATGACAGCTGGAGATTGAAAGGGTCAGAAAAAACCAATAGGCGAAGGTCTGTCACTATTTGTAATTGATGGTTCCTATCACAAGCCTGGGTCACAAAGAGATTCATTTGGTCTATAGTGTTTAGAATGTTAACAAAGGAAGGTGGATTAAATAAAATATCTGGTGCCTAAGGAATGTCAACCCTTTATTATATAGGTAAGATATTGCTTACCATGTATGACAATTTTAAGTGTGTGTGGTGTATGTGCATGTGTGTGGGCTCATGCACCTGGACTCATGGAGCCCAGGGGAGGACATTGGGTTCGTGAGCAATTCTCTCTCTTCAGGGAGTCCTGCAGAAATGTCTTCTAAAAAATCAGAGATCTCATAATTTGAATCATACAAAAACATAGAGAAATTGAGCTCCCTCTTATTTGATCATTTACTGAACCCATTGGACCTTCAAGTCAATTAAAAAGAACCCACACCCACAGGATGACGTCTGAGTGTCCTCCACGGAAGGGAGAGCCTGGTGGAGATGCTGGAAGTGTGAGAGCTAAACACAGGTGGCTGGGATGTCCAGGGATGGGAACAACTCTGCCATCCCCTGCCCCTTCCTTTCTCTGCTCAGCTTTTGGGTTCCACGTCTGGCAGCAAGAGAAAGGCATTGGAGAGGAGGTGGTGCTTGAAAAAAGGACTTGAGAAAAGTAGGGTTTTAGGGGGTTTTTTTTGTTTTGTTTTGTTTTTGAGACATGGTCTCAAATGGCCCAGGCTAGCAAACTATAGCCAAAGGTGACTCAATTTCTGATCTTCCTGCCAGTGTGATGTGGGTACAGGTTTGCATGTAGAGGTCAGACGACAACTTTCTGGGGTTGTTCTCCTTCTGTCTTCATGTGGGATCCAGGGAGCAAACTCAGGTCTCAGGCTTACACAGGAAAGCACTCACATCCCATCCCCAGCTCTTCGAAGTCTTAAAGATTTCAAACAAAACCCTTGGATCATTCAGCAGTCCACTGTCACAGGGATAAGGGACTGAGAGTGCTCATTCCAGCTTAGGGTGTCGCCCTTAAATAATTACTCTCTCCCTGCAGTACATGTAGTTGAAGGTGTGTAAACTATGTGAGTATTTGATGACTTTGCTGAGAATAATTTATAAAAATTCAAATGCCAAGGACCCACTTCTCAACTGATCGCCATAAAATGACAAAGGAGACTAGTAAGGTCTGACTGAGGATAGGTGTAGTCCCTGCACGAGGGAAATGGGAGGAGGAGGATCAGGAGTTCAAGGTCATCCTTGGCTATGTGGGAAGTTGAGAACAGCCTGAGCTATGCAAGAACCTGTCTCAAACAAATAGGCAATGATAGATGGATAGGATCAAAATCTACTGAATAAAAGTCCAAAATACTCGAGAATAAAAAGCAATCCTAATTCATGAAAAAATAAAAGACAGCTCTATCCCCAGTACTATTTCTTGCACACTAATTGTGTGTAAGTTTTAACCAAAAACACCTTCGTTTTGAGATGGCTTTGCTGTTTAGTCCAGGCCTACCCTGAATTTACAGAAATCTTGCAACCATTTCTGGAGTGTTGGAATCATAGAGGGATTCCCCATTGCATCCTGGCCTTACTCATTCTTCATGAGAACTTTTACTTGAGTCTTGGACTGTTGAGGCTAAGAGAAGCCATTTGGATGAGCTAGCTGTTGTACTAAGTTGGATTCTTGGAACTAAAATCAAGACCTTTCTATACCACAGGTCCAGGGTTAGGAGGAAGGGAGCAAGGTTTCAGACTTCTTAATATTAGGATAAGTAAGTCGGGCAGTGGTGGCACACACCTTTAACCCCAGCACTTGGGAGGCAGAGGCAGGAGGATCTCTGTGAGTTCTAGTCCAGCCTGGTCTACAAAGGGAGTTCCAGGACAGCCAGGACTTACATAGAGAAACCCTGTCTTGAAAAACCAAAAAGAAAAAAAAATATATATCTATATATTATCTATCTCTATCTATCTACCTACCTACCTGTCTGTCTGTCTGTCTGTCTGTCTATCTTTTAGGATAAGTACCTCAAACTGGAACTCAGGTCTCTAAAAGCAAGGCTCCAGCAGCGGGGTTGCTTCACCCCATCTTCACCCCACCCTGACAAGTAGACATGATGGGGCTGCTGTTCTGAGTGATGTTCCCTTAACAGTAGTGTCTATGCTGATCCCTCCCAGGGGCTCCGCTGAGCGCTGAGTGTAACACTTCTTCAGTGTCTCACCGAAGACAGGGCAAGTGCCTTTCCGGGTGTTTGATCTGTGAGAATCCCATGTAGCGCTAACCTGTCCCCTGGGTGAGAGTCCCATGCAGCCCTAACCTCCTGTCCTCTGGGTGAGAGTCCCATGCAGCCCTAACCTCCTGTCCCCTGGGTGAGAGTCCCATGCAGCCCTAACTTGTACCCTGGGTGAGAGTCCCATGCAGCGCTAACCTGTCCCCTGGGTGAGAGTCCCATGCAGCGCTAACCTCCTGTCCCCTGGGTGAGAGTCCCATGCAGCCCTAACCTCCTGTCCCCTGGGTGAGAGTCCCATGCAGCGCTAACCTGTCCCCTGGGTGAGAGTCCCATGCAGCCCTAACCTCCTGTCCCCTGGGTGAGAGTCCCATGCAGCCCTAACCTCCTGTCCCCTGGGTGAGAGTCCCATGCAGCCCTAACCTCCTGTCCCCTGGGTGAGAGTCCCATGCAGCGCTAACCTCCTGTCCCCTGGGTGAGAGTCCCATACAGTGCTAACCTGTCCCCTGGGTGACAGTCCCATGTAGCCCTAACCTGTCCCCTGGGTGAGAGTCCCATGCAGCGCTAACCTCCTGTCCCCTGGGTGAGAGTCCCATACAGTGCTAACCTGTCCCCTGGGTGAGAGTCCCATGCAGCGCTAACCTGTCCCCTGGGTGACAGTCCCATGTATCCCTAACCTCCTGTCCCCTGGGTGAGAGTCCCATGCAGTGCTAACCTCCTGTCCCCTGGGTGAGAGTCCCATGCAGTGCTAACCTGTCCTCTGGGTGAGAGTCCCATGCAGCCCTAACCTGTACCCTGGGTGAGAGTCCCATGCAGCGCTAACCTGTCCCCTGGGTGACAGTCCCATGCAGCCCTAACCTCCTGTCCCCTGGGTGAGAGTCCCATGCAGCCCTAACCTGTCTCCTGGGTGAGAGTCCCATGCAGCCCTAACCTGTCCCCTGGGTGAGAGTCCCATGCAGCCCTAACCTCCTGTCCCCTGGGTGAGAGTCCCATGCAGCCCTAACCTGTCCCCTGGGTGAGAGTCCCATGCAGCCCTAACCTCCTGTCCCCTGGGTGAGAGTCCCATGCAGCGCTAACCTGTCCCCTGGGTGAGAGTCCCATGCAGCCCTAACCTCCTGTCCTCTGGGTGAGAGTCCCATGCAGCCCTAACCTCCTGTCCCCTGGGTGAGAGTCCCATGTATCCCTAACCTGTCCCCTGGGTGAGAGTCCCATGTATCCCTAACCTGTCCCCTGGGTGAGAGTCCCATGCAGCCCTAACCTGTCCCCTGGGTGAGAGTCCCATGCAGCGCTAACCTGTCCCCTGGGTGAGAGTCCCATGCAGCCCTAACGTGTCCCCTGGGTGACAGTCCCATGCAGCCCTAACCTGTCCCCTGGGTGACAGTCCCATGCAGCCCTAACCTCCTGTCCCCTGGGTGAGAGTCCCATGCAGCCCTAACCTGTCCCCTGGGTGAGAGTCCCATGCAGCGCTAACCTGTCCCCTGGGTGAGAGTCCCATGCAGCCCTAACCTGTCCCCTGGGTGACAGTCCCATGCAGCCCTAACCTGTCCCCTGGGTGAGAGTCCCATGCAGCCCTAACCTCCTGTCCCCTGGGTGAGAGTCCCATGCAGCCCTAACCTGTCCCCTGGGTGAGAGTCCCATGCAGCGCTAACCTGTCCCCTGGGTGAGAGTCCCATGCAGCCCTAACCTGTCCCCTGGGTGAGAGTCCCATGCAGCCCTAACCTGTCCCCTGGGTGACAGTCCCATGCAGCCCTAACCTCCTGTCCTCTGGGTGAGAGTCCCATGCAGCCCTAACCTCCTGTCCCCTGGGTGAGAGTCCCATGCAGCCCTAACCTGTCCCCTGGGTGACAGTCCCATGCAGCGCTAACCTGTCCCCTGGGTGACAGTCCCATGCAGCGCTAACCTGTCCCCTGGGTGAGAGTCCCATGCAGCGCTAACCTGTCCCCTGGGTGAGAGTCCCATGCAGCGCTAACCTGTCCCCTGGGTGAGAGTCCCATGCAGCCCTAACCTCCTGTCCTCTGGGTGAGAGTCCCATGCAGCCCTAACCTGTCCCCTGGGTGAGAGTCCCATGCAGCCCTAACCTGTCCCCTGGGTGACAGTCCCATGCAGCCCTAACCTCCTGTCCCCTGGGTGAGAGTCCCATGTATCCCTAACCTGTCCCCTGGGTGAGAGTCCCATGCAGCGCTAACCTGTCCCCTGGGTGAGAGTCCCATGCAGCCCTAACCTGTCCCCTGGGTGAGAGTCCCATGCAGCCCTAACCTGTCCCCTGGGTGACAGTCCCATGCAGCCCTAACCTCCTGTCCTCTGGGTGAGAGTCCCATGCAGCCCTAACCTCCTGTCCCCTGGGTGAGAGTCCCATGCAGCCCTAACCTGTCCCCTGGGTGACAGTCCCATGCAGCGCTAACCTGTCCCCTGGGTGTGAGTCCCATGCAGCGCTAACCTGTCCCCTGGGTGAGAGTCCCATGCAGCGCTAACCTGTCCCCTGGGTGAGAGTCCCATGCAGCGCTAACCTGTCCCCTGGGTGAGAGTCCCATGCAGCCCTAACCTCCTGTCCTCTGGGTGAGAGTCCCATGCAGCCCTAACCTCCTGTCCCCTGGGTGACAGTCCCATGCAGCCCTAACCTGTCCCCTGGGTGAGAGTCCCATGCAGCCCTAACCTGTCCCCTGGGTGAGAGTCCCATGCAGCCCTAACCTGTCCCCTGGGTGAGAGTCCCATGCAGCCCTAACCTGTCCCCTGGGTGACAGTCCCATGCAGCCCTAACCTGTCCTCTGGGTGACAGTCCCATGCAGCCCTAACCTGTCCCCTGGGTGAGAGTCCCATGCAGCGCTAACCTGTCCCCTGGGTGAGAGTCCCATGCAGCCCTAACCTGTCCCCTGGGTGACAGTCCCATGCAGCCCTAACCTGTCCCCTGGGTGAGAGTCCCATGCAGCCCTAAC